GGTTGAGGCCGTCCAATTAGCCTCTGCAGGCCTTTGCTGTGATAGTGGTTTAGCATGGAGGCTTCTCAAACTGTTCTGATGATGTCAAACTTTCTTGGGACTTGTTCTGAAAAATAAATTAAGTTTCCATTGCCATTTCAATATGGTAATGCAGCAAGACAAGGCCATTAATGCACCAATTTAAACATTTGTTTATGTAACGTTTTCAATGTTAAACATTGTTAATGCACATCAAAAATATTTTGCTACATTGTATATTCCAATAGCCAACCGGCTCAAATGTGAGAATTTAATGCCTCCTCTTTTTTGTATGGTTACTCTCATATAAAATAGTATCTTTTGTAAACAAGACCGCAGACTCTAAGGTTGTGTAACTTTTTTGTAATTTTTGTTTTCTGACATTTTGTAGACTAAATAATTTAAATATAAATTGGGTTTATTCTTAACCCATCTGAGGGCTGAGTTGATGAAAAAAGGAAAATGTTAATTTTACTAACCCGATTTGTGTGACATGTCCTGACAAAGCTAATATATTTGCCTTTCTATTTAGCTCTTATTTAGTTAACCCTTAATTCAAGCATTCTTCCAGTGTTTCTTTCTATTCTCTCTAGTATTCAATCAAACAGGCCTCATTTCAAAGACTAAGTCAGTCTACACCCTCTTCCTTCTTTTCTCTCTCTTCATCCATCTGCCATTTCTATCCACAGTTATCCATTCTCTATCCCCATCACCCCTGGAACAACACTCATCCATCTCTTTGTCTCCATGCCCTCACACCCTGTGGTGAGAAATCTCCAATTTATCTTGTGTCCCCTTGTTTTGCCTTCACTTCTCTCTGTACTCTTCTCATCACTCTGTCTATCCATCAAACCATCTACCCATGGATGTGCTGCCCTCCTCCCTTCAGTCCTATTAGGTTTACAAAGCTGCAGGATAGCAGCAAAAAGGCTGAATGTACATTCATATTTATTATGATATACCATATGTATGAGTATCTGACAAAATTTGTTCTTTTACAAGACATTTATTTATAGAGTGTATATATATATATATGTATTTATATGTATTTTTCATTTTTTTGTGCAGAAGCAAAACAAAAAAACTGGATTTTATGATGCACGATGATGCATAATTTAATGATATTAAGTGTGCTGTCAAACGTAGCACAAAGTTGGACAGTAGCAGAATGGAACAATAAATAAACTGCAACAAATCCAGCAGTGCATGGCCACACAGTTGCTGCTCCACAGGGATGATGCACCATTTTCATAAATCCCTAAGAGCTCAGATTCTCCTTTACATGCTACAATTGTTTGGTGACTGAGTTATTTCCACAAATAGAGATGAACTTTTGAGAGAAAAGTATATGTGTGGGTGCTGTGTGTATGTATCTCCCAGATGTAGAGTAAAGACAGTTGTGTGATGTGTTGATAGTGAAAGAGGCAGATCTTTTAAACTGAGGAAAAAAGTGAGGGAAGAGTCAAAGACAGCTGCAAGAGCAGGAGAGTGCAAATGCACTGGATAGCAGAACCTGAAAAAGAAAAAAGTAGGATGGAGAAACAATGAATGATAGGCAGTCAAAGAAGAAAAAGAAGCAGACATATGAAGGGTTTAAGAAATGCAAGAGCAAAATGACCGGGTAATGGACAAACCAAGGTACAGAGAAAGACACACACCAAAGGAGTGAGAAAAAAATGGACGTGTGAATGAGATAGAGCAAGAGAGGTGAGAAAGATAAAGACAAAAAGGAGGATGAAGAGCTGTCCATAATGAGTTTTGTCCTACATTCACAAAGGCAACATTAAATCATGCTCTACTAAGCAGCACACACACTGCCAATACAGCCAGGGTTTACACATTTTCTCACTCACTGTAGTGTCCTCTGACCTTCAATCCATTGATTCACTGTCTACACATAAAATGTAGTTTTTACCAATGAGGCATCTCTCTTTAAAAAGTGCTATTCGTTTTTAATAGCACATATCCACTGAAAGAGCATACAATTAAAATTAAGGTTCTAAAAATCCAGCTCAACAGATCTGTACGACAACCATTTCTTAGCTAGAAACTACTCCTGTGCTGTCCATAAAAAGACACCAAATATGACTTCTAGCAGTATGGAGTCCAGGAATTCTTTCAGTGTCTGAAAAACAGAAATCAACACTTTGCACTCCAATGTGACTGGCTGAAATACACATGAAAAAGTGTTTACTAAGGCAGAGAACACATATGGTTACAAACCTGCTACTGAGGAAACCCTGCCATGTTTCTCTCTGTAGACATTTTCAAAGGGTACGTGTCACTCTAACAGTTTCATCTGTATACAAAACTGTAAAGACGAAAAACATCCCCCTGTAGCCTAATTAATAGTGAGGAATCTTTTCTACTCACTTCACTTCAGCTTGCTGTAAATATGGACTACAATTTGCGAAAAAAAGAGATAAATGATATTACTGCGAGCTCCCGAGATTTGTTTTTATTCCAGAAGGTTTAACTAATGGCAAAAATTTGCATATCACACAACTTCATCTTCTAAGAATTCAGAACACTCCTTGGAGCTTGGAAAGACACCATGAAAACCAGGTAAACCCTGTAACTTTGTTCTGGCACAAGAAGGCAGAAAGAAAGAGCCCGTGGAGGCAGTTAGCTGCAAGACAAGGCAGGGTCAGATTTTATTACAGTGACATCAAAATAACACCTCACAACCCTTTACAAAAGTGCACAAAGGGAGTGCTGCTTTTTGACTGTTCTCTTTATAGCTCAGTCTACACCACTGAAGTACAGTTTTAATCTTTTGTGCTGTCCAGGCAAGCTTCATGCATTTGCAAATCCCTTTGCAGTTATATGCTTGCCAAGCCATTTTGGGTGGAAACCTTTTGGAATTCATAGATTTCTTTCTTTCTTTCTTTCTTTCTTTTTTTTGTATTTTAATACTCTGTAATGATGTCACTGTCCTGTTACTTTAAAAAAGTCATCAAAAAAGTTTTCCTTTGTTTTGCATTTTGTTTTACTTGCAGAATGATGAATGTGAATATGCATAGCATGTAGAGACACACAAGGCTACAGAAGTTTGGGAGCTTCCCTCCAGCATAAGGTGCAGCAAAGTACTTTGATGACAAACCCTTTGTAGCCAGGCCTCGTACCAGAGACCTCACAAGACAAAAAAAGTACAAGCTCATGTTTGGTGAGGGCCCGTTTAGCCCAAGGCTTATAATGTTTCTTTCTTAGTTTAGCATGTTAGCATGCTAATATTTGCCTATAGACGTTACTAAGGAATCAAGACTACACCACTCAGCAGATCCTGAGTCAAGTCTTCACATCACTATTTAACAATCCATCAAGTTTTTAGAACCGACTTGAATGCCAACAGCAGCATTGTTAGCATGCAAAAACACAGCTGCAGTCTGTTTAATAAACTAAAAGCGTTAGCGTGACCAACAACTAAAACAGAAGTAAATGTGCAAGTAGGTGTTAAAAAATTTAAGTCCTTGAGTCAAGCATCAAAACATGTAAAATATGTTAACGAGGCACAAGAAGTCACAAAAAGTCTGCGTCATTTTTCAGCGAAACTGCTGTACTTACAGTGTACAGTAATTTTGAATATTCTCCAGGCTTCAGCTGACACAAGTGGTCAAATCAAAAGTTATCAAATGGCAGAAGTCTGTAAAGCATAATTAGCTGTGTATAATTAGGTGGCAAGCTAATGAGTGGTAATCACAGTACTGTAGAGCCATTCTTTTATCTTTTGCATGTGCATTCCAGTCAGTATTCATGCAGTAGTACACAGCAGTATAGCTTCAAAAATGATCCTTTTATTTTAATAATACTGAGACAGTAATTGGTTCTTAATATTCATGATCACAAAAATGCTGTTCTGGAACTTTTTTTTTTTTTGGCCTTCTCAGCCTGTAGCCGTAACAGTAGTCTGGCTGTCTGTACAGTCTGTGGGAGAATGACTTCAGGCAGGCCAGTGGCCTACTGACAGCTATTTCCTAATGATCTCCCCACAGATATTTCATATCTGACAAAGTGAAGCTACTGTAGAGCTACTGGAGAGATGGTTCACTTTTTTACCATTTGATTATTGAGAACTAATCAAAGCTTAGTTCTCTTTTGGTTCTGAAAGAAAAAAAACCCTACTATTAGACCTCTTTCACATATTGTCATCTGCCAATCACCCTCCTTTAACATTCAATCCAGTTTCCACATGCACATATCTAAATCAGAAAAGCTAAAGAATAAAACTTCCACATCAGTAGCTCACAAACAAATCATGTATTTAATCACTAGAGACTGGTACTTACTTGGGAGAAGACTGTGTGAAAATAAAAAGCACAAAGAGTGACCAAATCACACATTTCACTTTACTGTATCACATAGCGTCGTGCCATTGTAACGAATGTTCTCTGAAATTTCTTCTTCTTAAAGTCCACCATGCCGTTCAGAGCTACTCTCAGTTGCATAAGTGGAGTTTAGCGTGCAAATAATTGAGTAATTTAAAGGCAGCGTAGGGGAAGACTGAAGAGGTTGAAAGGAGAGAAAAATACATAGACCCTAGGTACCCATGGAAATAGCAGTTAAGGTCAGTGGTGGGAATGTTTGGGCACGAGCTGGAGCAGAACAGTATGAGAGCAGCAAAGTGCTGCAGGCCACAGGGGAATACCCTCCACTAAGCTAGAAAGAAACACTCACAGACTCATGCAGCAACAGCGTAAGAAGCACTCTTACTAAAAGAATAAACAGATCCATGCACACACTCAAGCACACTATACTAAAAATAAACATGTGCATGGATATGAAAATACACACAGGATGAAGACAGCAACCAAAACAAACAAACATGTATGTGCACCCACAGCCCTAAAAAGGTAACAAAATAATGTGATGACTAGACAGATTAAGAAACTGGATCTTTAACTTCAATCAATCATCTTAAAAGCTGCTGATTTATTCAAAATGATCTTATTAGCTCAATTTCACAACAAACTTTACCCTCTCACCTTGACAAGATCCGTTGATTTCCTCAAATCCCGGCTGGCAAACACACTTCCCAATGGGCACCAGCCACTCTCCCTCTGTGCTGCAATGCATCCTGGGAGGCTCGTATAAAGGCAGGGAGTTATTGACACAGCGGCCCACTACCTCTACCAGCTGTGAGGCTTCTGAGCCTGGGATTGTGTCAGGGAACTCAGCCAAGCTCTTCACCAAGAATGGGCAGCGTTTGTAGAAAACCCTCACTGAGACTAAAGCAATGCAGGCCCCTAAATCCTGAAATGCCAAGTAGAAGCCTTTCCGGGTCAGAGGACCTAAATCGCGGACTTCAGTGTTAAGCTTCATCACACGATCCCCAAGGTCCAGCTCAGTGAAGCTCTCATCAGCTGCTATGGTATCAATTTTGATGTACCTGCTCTCCTTCATTGCCCTGTCTTCCTCTTCTGTCATCCCAGTACCATCTCTCATCTCTCCTTCCTCCATCTCTTCTTCGTCCCCATCTGTTTCATAGTAATACATATTAAAAGTCTCCTTGCAGGTCCCGACACCCCCTGGCAGGCTGTTGCAGTCTCTCAGGGTGAACTTGAGCTCAATAAATACCCGCTGGGCACCCTCAGTCAGGATCCAGTTGGTGTGGAGCCAGTTGTTCTGGTTTTGCTCCATCACACGGCATACTTGGTAGGTGTGGATGGGAGCATAGTTCTCGTCTACTTCCCCAATCTCCTCCCACTGAAAAAGAAAAAAAAAACCCAAAATATTAGTGGAAAGACCTTGTTCCTTTCAAATGATTAAATGCTTAATATTCCCATGCACATCCTGCATTCAAAACATCACTAAAGTCAATTTTACAACGTGCTTAAAGTACAGAAAAATGTTTTGATGAAATGGCTTTAAATTTGTTATATATAAGAATATTTAGTAGCTAATGCATCAATGTGTGAATATTACTTTACTATGGTCACTGCTTGAACCTCCAAAGAGTCACAACATCAATTTAATAGGTGTGTGGGGACAATCGTATTTTAAAACTCAAATTTATATCGGTGGTTCTTAGCATTCTGATTTTTTAAATTAATCCATTAACAGTTACCAACAGTCAGCCCAACTACAGTTTAGTCTTAAACTTAAACTTAATATTAATATTAATAATGTACCATCTTATTCTAAAAATGTAAGAGTGTAACACACAGTACAATATTACCAAAATGTATAAAGTATGAAACACATTTTTTTTTTCAAAACCATAAGTCATCCTTAGTAACACACTTACAGTATTACATTATAACATTTTCAGTCTACTAGGACAAACTTGTCTAATTAAGCATGCTTATAATTCTACATATAACAATGAAGTAAACAGTAAATTCTAGTATGTTGCCTGTATTGTTTAAAAATGTGAAATTATACTCATACAGAGAATCTGACACCGTGGTAATACTTTAAGAATGAGCAACAGAAATGCTTTTCTGAAAGGATTAACGCTGGTGTGGAAATTTTAACGGTGTGTTTGTGTGTGTGTGCATGCATGTTAGTGTGTGTGTGTCAAGGTATAGATAGCAAAATAATCCTCATCACTTCCACCTCATTTCCTCCTACTGCAATAGAGAGAAAGGAATGAGATCGTGTTAAAGGGTACATATGCATTTACCATGAATGAGGGGTGGCGTTCTTGTCAGCAAAAAAAAAAAAGAGGATTTAACCTGCACCTGTGTGTTCATCTGTAGCACCATATCTCTAAAGGAGAATGTGTGTGTCTGTGTGAATCCATTTCTGCATGTGCATATATGCAAATTATCTTGTCAGCATTCAAGTGTGTGTGAGCATATGCATCCATGCATGTGTGCGTGTGTCAGACAGCAGCATTAATTCCCTCTGCAGGTCTCGTGGGAGATGGCTATTATCTGCATCACTAGCCCTCTCTCATGACTAATATAGGCGCTTCATCATGTCACTGTAATATGGCCAGAGGGACCAGACTATGATCTGGTGTTATGGCTTAATAGCCCATATTAATCAATCCTTGCTGATCCATTGTATACAACCCTCTGTCTTTATCTTTTCACTCTCTTCTCCCTGTCTCGTTCTCCAGCTGTCTTTTTTTTTTTACACTTTCCCTGATTAAGTGTGTCTCTTTTGTTTTGTCTCTTTTGTTTTCTGATTGTAATTATTCAGTTTCAGAATCATTTGATAATGGATGCAGACATTTAAGTATTTATAGATATTGTGTGCACACGCAGTGTGTTAATAGTCTTGCACCTTTATCTTTGTAACAAGCAATTTCACTTTTAGTCTTCCTGAAATTGTTGGAAAGCGAATCATCTTATGCGATTTATTAAAACGCTGTTTGAGGATTTAAACTTTGTTCCTGAGTTCGGCTTAGACCTAGGTCTTGATTGGTGGTTTGAGTGTATGATGCTAATGAGGGTCTTCACAGATATGGAGTGCAAACTATTCAAAGATATCTGTTTTTAATTGTGTGCCAGTCCCCATCTCCACCAGACCTCAGCCCAGTCAGTCCCAGTACAGACATTAAGCCTCTTACTTGTTAGATCGCACAGATCCACAAGCCTGCTCTGAGATTTACACAGCTTAACACATACACACACACACAGAGCCACACAGCGTCATTATTGGTATCCCAGCGGGGAGTTGAACAGACGACCTCCTCTCACTCTGCCTTGAACAAATTGGTTCGGCATGTGTGCTTGGAAGTGGTGTTGCCATTGTTGCAATTGGGAGTCCTCCCACTTTGTAGCTCAACTGTATTTATAGAGTTTAATTACTAATGTAAATAGGATATGATACTTGAGCTAACACTTTAAAGTGAATAATCAAACAATTATTTAGCATAACCCATTTACAAGCAAACAGCCACTAAAATGAGTAACAAAATGTTACCAAGGTTCATGCTTTGGCTTTCCAGAAAATGCCGCTGATGTAGAAACAGACTGCTCTAAGACTTTTTAGTTGCACCTACTGGAGGAACACACTTTGATCTGTGCACAGAACGGCACAGCAGTAAGGTTGCAGTTGCAGAACCACATTCGTAATGTGAGGGAATGTAGAAACAGTCAGTCTAAAAGTTAATCACACAATAAACTCACCTAATGCTAGATCTATTTCAACTTTACTTTCTTCCTTCTCAGTCACTCCAGAAATAACCTCTCGATTCAGTGCATAGACCTAACTTTGTGTGCAGACTGCCTCTTCATGATGTGAAAGGGGAACAGAAACAACTGTGACCAATTACATCAATCAGGACAACTTTATGTTACATTGGTTTTCAATCTATTTTCACAAAGCTTTGAGTAAAGCTAACAACAATATATTTTGTCAAGCAGCAGGGTTTTGAGAAGCACATATATGTCATTACTTTGTCACACTAAAGCACAACTATCTGCATGACTTGGAATTTTTTTTGCCAATTTGGAAAAGCTGCTATTCCTGTAGGAGTGCAAATGGTCCCAACACTCAGTCTAAAGAGATTAAGATCTCTTTCATTTGTGTGTCATTTCATCTCCACTTTGCTCCAAACTAAAAAAAAACCCAACTCCCCTATAGGCATCCTTCTAGCTCCTCATTAGTGTGTGTGTTTAGTTTTGGGGTTTTTTGGACTGTTATATGTGTATTTTTGTGTGTCACATCTAGTCTGAAGACCCCCTGTGGTTGTGCTGAGTGCCTTTCCGGCTGTAAGTCTACAACGCTGTAACCAACTTATTATTATCACCCATTACTGCTGACCATCATGACACTGTAATAGAACTGGCCCTTTTTCTTCTTAACACTACCAGTGCCACTACTCCCCACACACACACAACACACACACACACAACACACACACACACACACACACACACACACACACACACACACACACACACACACACACACACACACACACACACCACCTCTTTCCATCTATAGTCTCCTCTCTCATTCCCCTGATTTATTTTTTTTCACCCAAGTCTATCATCGTTTTCCCTTTGTGTCCTTTATTCTTACTTTAATTATACAATCTTAAAGTCTAACAAAGTGAATGCAGGTTGCCTTCTTCCTCCTCTGACTTCTCATCTTCCAATATTTCCCTGATTTCAGCTAACCTCTCAAATTTTTTCAAACTACTTTGTCTTTCTTGCAACACTGCAACACGTATTTGGCTTCCCCATTCACTTCAACTTGTCCGCTTTCTTTTCTTTCTAACTCACCTTGTCTTCCTTTCATCTTTCTACTGTAACTGGGAAGAAAATCAGCTAAATAGTATATAATCTGCTGCACAAAACAAGCCTGCTGTAAGCTGTCATTGGGATATCATTTAGCATCTGTGCTCAGCCACAGTTCTTGAAGTCTGTTCGGTACTTTTGGCGTTAGCCTGTCTTTATCTTCGGTCAATTGAGCACAGTGAATCAGTGGATACAGCTGATGAAAAAGAGCTCTCTAACTGGCTGTTCAGCCAAGGGAATCAGTGATTACATCAATTTAGTCTGGTTTTGCTTTTTTTAAATTTCACCTCATAAATGAAACTGTATGGTAGAGTTGAATGACTCACTGATTACCTAATCAGTGAGCAGTTAAACGTAAAAGATTAATTGTACAGCGTGTTGTTAGAAACTGAAAAGTTCTGAATCATGAACTTCAGAGTTCCAAGTACTGAAGCTGTTTATAATTTCATAAGACTACAAAACACTTAAACAAATGAAGTATTTTGTCACTATAACAAGCCAATTATAAAAGGTATCAGTAATTTTGGGTGTAATAAATATACTTAAATAGCAGTTAATTATGTCTAATTATGTCTCTAATTATTATGTGCCAAAGTTACAGTCCTATTCAAAAGTCTGAAACCACCCCTCCTGCCTTTATATTTTGCTTCCAAGGAGTCTGAGGTTCTTGTAATTTTTTTTAAAGTGGTCTTGAGCAATTGTTCTCCAGGCTTTCTGAAAGTTTTTATTTGGAAAATGGATACCTTTTCACACATTTTCAGTCCAGTTCTTGTATTTAACCACTGTCAGAGATTTTTTTTGTTGTTGGTTTTTTTTTAGCCACTTAAATCTCACCTATGAATCATTCAGGCAAAAAAGGTCCCTATCTGGAGGAATAGACCAGTGTTTTGTCCACACATAACAGATCATTTAGCAAAGAATTAACTTTAAATTCTACCTTTAGACACTTTCTTACAAGCACCCTGTTGCAAAAACACACAAATTTCTAATTTATTTAGTTAAAGCTATGAAAAATGTCAACAATAACACAGTCTGACAGGCATAAAATAGTAACAGTAAAACAAGAACTAGAGGAAACAACAGCAGATGAACAGTATTTGAAAGTCCTTAAGAAATATGGAACAAGGCCCTTCCCGGGGGTGGCTGTAGTGAAGCCATTCTTAAGGAAGGGAAACAGGGAGAAATGGTTGAAGAATGCTAAATTACAAAGGAACTGGGCTGAATTACGTAGAAACGGGTCTGATGGAGTGATGAATCCAAATTATAAAAAAATGACTCAAATCACTGTCAACACGTAAGAACGAGGTCAGAAGAGAGGTACAACAGTGAGTGTCTAACATGGTGGAAGCTCTGTCATAGTTTGAGGCTGCATTTCTGCCAGCGGTGTTGGAGATCTTGTCAAAATTGTGTGGAATTATCAACAAAGAAATATCAATACTATCTGGAAAGCATGAGAGCACTTTTAAAATGTCCTTCAAGAACCCAGAAGAACTATTCTTGCAGACTACTTAAAGAAATTACAAGGGAACTTGCCTGAGGCTGTATTGAAGAATAAAGATGGTCATACTAAATATTGACTTTCCAGCTCATTAGAATTGTACAAACTCTGCTTTTGCATTATATATAATGCATGTATGTTTGCACATTTCAATAAAACCCTGCACACACTCCCCATTTTCCTAGCAAAACATAAAGAATTGGTGGCCCAAGATATTTGAACAGCACTGTGCGTGGTGGTCTTTTTTTATGTAGAGCACATAACTAGAATTTATTATATGACCCTAAACATCTAAACATAATTAATTAAACACAAAAGTCATATCCAAACTATCAGTAAATGCTCCTCCACTGGCAATAGGGAGATATACAGTTGATATCAACATTGAAAAAAAGTTCAAATGTTGATGAATCAAAACTCCTCCATGTTTAGCCTCAATTACGACAGCATTTCTTGCTCAGTCTTTTCATGTGCAAACAATTGTCAGTCTCTGGTGCTGAAAAATGAAACCAAATAGTGCAGTTTCTTCACTGGCCAGATGAGGCTTGGCCTCAAGTCAATCCTAATAGAACTTAGGGTAAAATAAGCAGAAAAAAGTAGCATGTTTACAGCCTGTTTTAAAAAGCTGTTTTGGTCTTTCCCCCATTCACATGAACACACAACACCACAACAAGTTCAATAATTGCCTTATCATCCGCTCTCTACCTATGATTACATCCCAGTGAAAATAAAGCTACTATATTTTACCTTTTAGATTTCCAATTTCCAATTGCTATTGTCCTTATTTCGGGAACTTTCTCCTCTATCAAAAATAGTTTAAGATGAAAGCATTCTGTTCTCGAGATCAAAGAAATACTGGTTTCTCATGCTTCTCATGCATATCTTCATCTGGTAAAATCCCATTTTATCGTTCTATATATCCAGTTCTCCCTACTTCTCTTTCCACATTGCCAGAATAAAGATCCAAGTCTCAATAAACAAAAATAACTCTGGGTACCAGCCAGCGAGGCCTGGTGATTTTTTTCCACTCAGACTTCCAAATTAGATTAGAAACAGCAACTTCCAGAGGTCTTTTTAAACTTCGGTTAATGTTGAGCTTGTGTATAGAGAAAAGATGTGGATAAAGAAGCGAAGAAACAACAACTCTAAACAACAAAGTTCAAGGAACTCATCGTAAACACAAACCAGCTTTTAGAAACAGGATTTTATAACACAGTATTCATGATTTTCCACTCCAAGTATCCAATTTCAAGCTACCATGTAAATCACTAGAGTGTTTCACTCTCCTACTTCAAGACATTTATCTGTTACAGTAATTATGCTGTGTTTGGTGTTACTGCATTCTCTGAAATCTGTCCAAGTTTTTCAAGGTCATCCATCACATTTTAAGACACATTTAAAGCTCTTATTTTAATCCCTTTTGTTTAAATTCAAGTTTAAAAAACTGTCAAATCTTTATTTAAAAAAAAAAACAATGCCAAAGGAAGCAAAGAGAAGAGAGTAAGAGTCAAAGGCAAGTAGAGGACAAGAATAAGAAGAAATTGGAGATGAGGAGTTTTGCACATGTTCAGGGACATGGAAGAATGGAAGTAAAGGCAATGATGGGGATGAAGGGAAGAGGAGAAAACCAGGAATAAAACAAGCCATCTGGAACATGAGACTTAAAAAAATCATTAAATAAATAACTTTCGTGCCTTTTCAAGTACTTATTTAGCCAAAATTTGAAGTGTGAAAGTGTGTGCTTGTGTGAAAAAAAGTCCAAGACTGCAAATAGTGTGCTGTTGTACCAACACTGAACACGTTATAATGGCCAACTGGGAAATAAAGACATGTTTGGTGTGTCTTTGTTAGACAACCCCCCAAAACGAGTCGTCTTAAAAAGCAGCTGAATATAAACATAACAACTAATTAAGACATCGTTAAGGGATCCTTGGATTGTCTAATGAAGTCCTTTATTTCCTCTCTCCATCTCCCCTAAACGTAGTTATTTATGCAGCTGTACTGTTAAAAACTCGCACGCCATAATGAAATCTTCATTAATATGATTGCACATACGGCTGCTTTTGTCAGCACTATCTTTCCCATCTACATACCGCCACAGAGTGGGCTGTGATTTGAATACTCAAAGCTAAGAAAATGCTATGGTCAGCACTATTGGTACGGTGTGTATAGCTGCATCTTTTCAGAGAAGATTTGCCACTAGGAGATTTTTAATGTGGATCAAATCGATGCACAAAACATTTCTGTTTAAATAAGCCACGGCACTGTAAACCCCCAGATGTTCCACACTTCCATTTTTCACGTAAGTATGACAGACTCAGTTGTAGCTTAATGTCTGATGTTCTAAGGTAGTATTGAAAATCGAAAAGACATTAATCATTTTTAAAGCACCATTTTTCCTCATTAAAATACACTATATAATACCATGAAATAACAATTTAGTAAGTCTAGTAAGTCATTCTCTAATTAGCCTTCACCTTGGGAATACTTGGAAATGGAAATTCAATTCCTGGCTTGAGAATAAAATATTCCATGGTGACTTTCGATATATTATTCATGAATTCAATTTACCCTGATAATGAACTGAAAGTTCTTGGAAATAAAATGATCTTTCACCTTGATAAAACAAAAGAATAACTTACAGTATGCTTCAGTGTAAACTATAATTATAAGTGTCTTTTGATTTACACACAAATGAGTTTACTTTCCTAATGGGTAAGAAAAAAAAGATCACTAATCATGAATCAAAAACATCATAATTGCTAACAGCTGACTGCAGCATCTGTAAAAATGGAGATTTAGTATTTGTCTAATCTCACCCACACTTTTACAAATCAACACCTTTTCGATACATCTTAGAAAGAGGTATACTCACCCCATTCTTAGGGTAGGCCACCCATCCCAGGTCTCCCATCACAGAGCGGGAATCCAGCAGGTTCACTGTTGAAGGTTGGGAATACAAAGAATTGTTAGTAAAGATGAGCAACAAGCTGATTCATTAGAAATGCAAAAGGAAGAAGAAATATAAATCCTCACTTTGTTTACCCCTCCCTTATTATACCAAGTCACCAAGATAAAATGATTTACACATATTCAGCTAATGAAGGCCAGGGCTTGCTGCATCACAAAGCCTGATTGGTGAATAGACTCAACTGGATGTGCTAAGAACTGATGACACCTTAGTCACAAAGAAATGCTTAAGAAAATAGAAGCCAGACATTATACTTATTACAGATTCATTCATCAGAGCAAATATTTGCCCAAGTCAAAGGATTTCTATCCACATTCATTTGTCAAAAATAATTCCACATATAAAATCTATTGAATTAGAATGTGTGCGTGAATGAGAATGTGGGATCTTGTTAACCAAGAACTCCCACACAACTTTGTACGCACAATTCAGTGTCTGCAACACAACTCAAACTAATCCTAAAAAAAAAAAAGAAAACCTCCCTGCTTAGCTTCCTGGCTGAAAGCTGTCAAGTGCAATTACTTGATCACTTCAAATCCTTAAAGTGTGTTTCCATCAACTCTTGTGCAAGACTGGTAACAGCGGAATCTCGCAAGTTGCGTGTGTGCCTTCACATGCTTCTTCCGCATCAAATGCACAACAGGTCTTGACAAAAGAGCCTCTCGTGAAGGCAATTGTCATCTCAGTTTTTTGACATATTTGGAGGCACTAAACAATATTCTCTTTAGCGGCTTGTTAGTTTTATCTCAACAAAAGCACTTGTCAACATCTGGAAAATATTAGATGTTTACTGAGCCTAAGCTCTCATTATAAACATACTGGATATGGCTGAGATAGGCAGATGTTAACACCCAGGTGCAGAATCTGACTAAATCATTGTGGCCACATGACTGGGCGAGAACAAAGCAGGTTAACACGTAGTATATTAATGATGTGACACAGTTTACAACACCGTATGCTGTCATAAACTGAGCTCATATTCTGTTAAAGCGGAGTTCAGTTTTCTTTATCTCCTCTACGATAACATTTAGCTTGTTCTTTGTTTGATACAATGTGTACTCAAACAATAAAAGAAAAGTCCAACTAAGTGACCCATAGACAAGCTTTTATACTTGAAGCAGATTAAGAGATAGACATTAGAAAATATTGCTAACTGAAGCAAACATTATCTGTATCTACCTACAACAGCAGACAAAGGGGATACTTCTCCTTGCCGCGTCTCTCTACCTGTTTTTATGACTAAGTAGTTCATGTCTAAATTGAAGCCTTTATTCTATTTTGGTTAAGCTCTGTCACATGTTTAACTTCATAAGAAATCTTTTTGCATCTATGTTGTAAACATGAAATCTGATGATGAACAACAAAAAATAAGACTGGAAGTGAAAAACAGAAATTGCATTTGAGTCCAGCAGGGGACTGGTGGACACACTATGCATTAGGAGACATTTTTCTTTAACCCATCACAGCTTAGCCAGGTTGGTAAAAACAAATCTTTAAGACTTAACCTCCTAAAAATCTTGGATAAGGTAAAACTTCTGCTGTTCTTTAAAACAGGTTTTCACATGTAACATTTACACAAACCAACCATTAATGTATGTAAAAAAAAAAAAAAATCAGCCAACTATCCAAAAACACAATTTCAGAAACATTGGTGACTTTCTGACCAGCTGTTGAGTGTAACATTTACAGTTACATGTGCTGTCATAAAACAACCAAACTACACATGAACCCTGCCCTAATGTAAACAAAATGATAGGCATCCATAAATAATCTGCATCACAAGGTGTACTGGTGTATGCAGCGTTGCTCAATATCTCAGACACAGACGTTCTGCAACCCCGAGCACCACACAAACACACAGATGCAGACACACCTCCTGTCTTACTGTCTTCACTGTTCTACAGAGAATAATAAAAGATGTCCTTAGGAGGCGATTAGACAACTAATTAGGCCATAAAGAAGAGATAAGTGATACTGAACTAGATCATAAGGGATATGTTACCTCTTTCCCTCTCTTGTTCTCTCTAAGGATTAAACCACCTAACAAGTTAGAGCTCGGCTATGACAATGATCTATAGCACTTATTATTAAAAGTCATCTCAGCTAAATGAATGTAGTGATTTAAAGTCTTGAGTGACATTACTTCAAGGATACATATTTTAAATCCTTTGAAGGATGTGTGGATTTTTAACATTGGGGATACTGATAAAATTCTCCTCGAGTTAAGTGTTGTTGCTGTTAGACAAAGGACATTTATTTTCAGTTACACTGAAACTATGCAGTTTTACTCCTTGACCTAAGTTATCTTTAACAGTCTCGTGTGTAACCATATCTTACCTGTTACTTTTACCTGCACATATCAAATGTGCAATTTTAATTAATGCAGTCCCCTCATCTTTTTTTCTTTTTTCCCTGTGTGTACCTTGTGATGTTTGATTTTGACAATTTACGTGTTAGCTCAGAGTTCTCTGGGATTAATGGTCTGTTTTCTCCTCCCACACAGAGAGAGGCAGACAAATATTCTTTCTTTCAAGCCATTTGGTGTAATTACTCCAGATTCACCATTTCCATTTGATCAATGCCACAGCCAACAAAAAGTAAAGTGAAAGCTTTTAAAATCCGTTTAGGCTCCCAAAACCCCATATCTTCCTCGTGTCACACATCATGATTAATCAAACACAGTAATAATGTAACAGATGTGAGGCTCTGGGATGTACTCTGAATTTCATTAGTTTTTTAAAAATGAGCTGATTAGTTTCAACATGGTAATGTGTGCACAACTTCCTTTTTATTTATTTTAATTTTTGAACAATTGTATCCTGATTTAGTAAGTAAGTCATTTAAATGTACTTAGTGAGACTGGCGAATAAGTGAAAACCAAACATTTACATGAGGTTAGTAGCATGCTGTCAGATAAGAACTTCCTCTTTTTCAAAACAAAACCTGAGATGGGCAAGTGGCCAAAATACCCAAATATTTTTCAAATTTGTCTACACAAGCAAAAAATAAATTCCTTAATTGTATTTTTTTTTAACTAATTACAATTAATTAGTCAAATGAGAGAAGAGGCTAGTTTAATTATGGGCTTCACTCACCTCTCCAATTATGCATGCAGTGCTACGGTGATTATCCTTTGCAATGCAAATATCTGTCAAATGAATCTAACATTGGTTTTAAATGGTTAACCTCTGGTAAATGGTTCTTGACTGGCTGGGTGTTGAACAGCTTTATTTCTGGTGTTTGGTTAAGTAAAAGTTTAATATCTATTCTCTGCAAATTAGAATGAGATGAACAGGTTTTAACTTGATAGTTGAAGACAACAAAGAAAACAAATGTCTGCGTATATGCCAGATGTGAAAGATCAAATGCTGGCATGTTTTTTTTTATTTCCCCTTCACTCACTTCATTGACTCCATCCTGAAGCTTGGCTTTAAAAAGGCTTTGGCTTAAAAAAGGGGGGTATTCAAGTATTTTGACAGCAGGTTTTGATACTAATGACAAATAAATGTAGGTGTATTTTAACCACATACATATTTTCATTATTTAATGGAACAGTGCACCTTATCACATTAAGGATATATTCATAAATTGAACACGAAACATCATGATTTCCTGGATTCAATAAAAAAGAAAGAAAAGAAAGAAAGATATACGTAATCTAAACAATCTTTGTGAACTTTTCATGTGCTGGCCAATGACGCCCTGCTAAACGCTCCAGGACCCCTCAGTGTCCTGTGGCCAAATATTGAGAACTTTGGTGAATATAAACTTTTACCAAATAAATCTGCCATGTGGAGAATATGCTGCTTGATGAATGTGCTCTCTTTCCCGGATAATGCTGTCTAATAGCTCCAAACAATGGTATTCATCTGGAGCTATTAAAATGCTGCTCATGCAGACAATGGCGTGGGAACAGTATTTGGCAGACTATTTTACACTTCTTACTCAGTTTTTTGTGCCTACATTGTCAAATATTTATCCTTATTTTATGCCACTTTACAGTTGCCCACTTTTCACATTTAGTAGGACAGTGTAGGTGTGCATTTGTTCAGATGATAAGAATATTGCAGGTATTTTGCAATATACTGTGGAACTGAGGGAATTTATGAGCGGTCACAGATTAATCTGACATGATAAGTGCTGAAAGAACCAAACATGAACAAACCTATAAAGGAACAAGGCAAGCCCAAACTAAATGAGTTTTCAGGGAAATTAAGTTATTGTCACACCTAAACGTCAGCATTTTAATAAGTGGGAAGCCAAGCGGTCAATTTAATTTTAGAGTCGTTTTACAGTAACTACCGAGAGAGAAAATAAATAAATACAAAAATAAAAATGTGAATTTGCATTCTTCGTCCAGTCTATGGTGAGCACCTTACACGCTAAAGACAAAAATGCTAAAGAGTGATACGGAGATTTTTGCAGCGCACTGTGCGTCTGTTGGCGCTGCCATGTCCTCAGAGGAATGGTTATCAGAAAGAGACATGTTCTGTCCAAAGGTCTTTTTTTATTCGACCCTTTACAGTTTGGGAACACAGAGTCATTGCACACACGGGGCACACAGCTGTCATAAAGATAATCTGTTTGTATTAATATTATATACGACCTCTTTCTGCCGTCAAACGGCTCCAGAAACGAATAGACCAGCCAAGGAGTCTGAGACCGATGGTCTGGGCACCAGCTGTGGCACGAGCAGACCTTTAACCGATTTTCGGCGCCCGTTAAAGCCTAACCAAACAGCGCTGTCAGTAACCCTAAATCCTTCCTGTTTTAGTTTACCTTCGTTTGCGGGAATGCACCACGCTCCGAGAAATGCCAGGCTCCAAACCCATGTCCATGTCACCAACCGAATGCCACAACTCCACCAACGAGATTGCATGGCGCATCCAAAAAAAACCCAAAACCAGCAACAAGATTTTTTTCTTAAACAACAGCAGTTTCGGTCAGAACAGAAGGGGAAAGCGTAGTGAAACCATCTGTCGCGTTATGCGTCCGCTCAGAAAGATGGGGATCATGTTATGCGGCGGCAAGAAGGAGGCAATGAGGAGACGAGTGCGCTCTGGTTTTGGGAAGGCGGGCAGCGCGTCGGGAGGCGGAGTGAAGCTCAGTCTCTCCAATCACAGACCCTCCACAGGTGAACCCCACTGCCGCTGAACTCATTTCTCCAATAATCGATTACCCCTCACTCATTACCTCTGTTGACCGTAAAAGCATTACTTACCGTTCGTATTAAGTTGCCCTCTCCTGCTCTGCGTTTCTGCACGATTGAGACTTGCTACAAAATTGGATTTGTAAAGAACAGAGCGCAGGTACTTTGAGGTGTTTTTTAAAAAGAAAAAAAAACATATCCCCGTTGTTTCAGTCCAGCTGCATTGCTTTCAGTTATGTGGGTTATCAGTGCTTGTATTCAGTTTTTGACAACATGTTTATAACGCAACAACTGCCGTTTTAACTACTGAGAGAATGTTTAAAGACGCATTATTTGACTGCTGCTGCAGCAGTGTTTGCTTTATTATCTTTCAGTAGTTCTTGGTGTATCACGTCAGGGAACAACAGACTGTAAAAGCAAAAGTAACCCTTATTTAGTAGGATAATCTACTGGTAATACAGTTATTGTAGTATTAACATCTTCTGTACAGTAGTAGTGAACAGGATGTGGATTTCCAATAAATATTGCCTCTGGGCAGCATTTCCAGCCCCTGTGTCTCATATAATCACTTTGGTTTGTGGACTTTATAGATCATTTTCAGGCTACAGACAGCTGACAATGATTGTCTGTCTCGCTCTGTGGTAGCCCTGTGTTAGACCAGTGACTGCTTCTAGTCCTGTGATAGCTGGGATAGGATCCCCACACTCGATGACTCTGGATTGGATCGGCGGAAGAAAATATTTTTAACACTATATTTTTTTCATGCTTGGCATGCAACACAGTTCTTGACAAAGAGCTATACATCTATGTTGTATCCATCAATGTTGTGGGTTCTTTAACTGATGGTTTCTCACCCCTGTCTTCTTCTTATTTCTTCTGTGTTCTGCAACGCTTTTAGCAGTAAAAAAAAATTAATTAATAATTTTTTTAAAAAAGAAGAAAGAAACTACTTTGTAACCCTGATTTTTAATAGAAATATACAACTTAGTTTTACATAAACCTAAAGTATGAGTCTACAGGTATACTAATTGTGTAATCACTGATTATCCCATCTGAAGACTTCTTTCTTAAGAGGTTTAATTCAAGGCTTTCAGTTTACTTTTATCTTTTATCTTATCTTTTAATGTCAATTCAGTGTACTAAGAATAACTGGAACAGTCTCCAAAAACTTTTTTCATTTTTCATAACATTTTTTATTGAGTTTATTTGCTCCAACTAAAAACACACAAACAAAAAAAGTGCACCATCAGCCATCTCGGTACAATTGTCTTGCTTTCCAGTTAAATGTGCTTTGGTGTATTTGAGTTTTAGTTTCTTATAATCTGTGTTGTAAGATTATAATTCCTCAAACTGCCTAAAATCAGTTCATAATTTTTGAATGTGAGACTTTAAGAAGTTGTATGTTGATTCTGTAATGTGAGCTTTCCTTTCCTTTGTGACCATCTTCTACATTTTCTCTGTTACCTTTATCCATTTAGACCAATTAATGCCGTATCTCTTTGTATTTTTATCTCTGTTACTTATTTGTGTTTTCTGTATGTGTTTTGCTTTTCACTTTTTCTTCCTCTCTCTCGTTCTCTGTGGTGAAATTACATTCTTTAATCACTAAGCAATTCGTGGTGTTATTCACATGTGTTACCCTGCTGACACCTCCTACATTCCTTGTGTATGCACACAGATCTACGCATATATAACACATGGATAGACACAGGTATTGATTTCTCTCTCACCCCAACTTGGAAATACATCAAGATACTCAGTGACCTCGCTGATAGGCGCACAGGGCCCCACGTTTTGTTTTTGCTACAGAAATTGAACAACCTCGGATTTTAAATATTGCATCCTTTTAAATATGTGAAAAAATTGTTTGCCAAGCACAAATGCAACTGTAGGTGTAATTCCAAGGTGGTAGTGTATTGTAGACGTGTAGGGGTCTGATCAGCAGTGACAGCGGGTGTGGAGGTGGTTCTGGGATGCCAGAAACTGTTGTTGTCTCCTAGAGGTGTCGGTTTAATTCTATAAAAGGTCTGCGGAGGAAAGTGTAAGAAAAATTCACCCCGCAAGGAGCCTTACCATCAGATGAATCTTCTCATTTTTGTTGGTTGAGAATGCATTTTTGTTGTTCTACGCCTGTTTGGTAAATGGGTGGAAAGAGTGAGGTTTCACTTTTAGATATTTTTAGGTCAGCAATAATGGAGTTATATAAAAGCAAGGATGGACAGGTGGAATTCCCTAAAATAGACGATGCAGGAAGTGGTCGGCATTCTCCAGATGTATCAGTTTTAGGATACAACAGCTGCACTCAGACTAAGATCCTCAAACAAGATTAGATTAGCCATGAAAATAATAATAATAAAAAAAAGAATTTGTATATATTTTTTTTCTTTTGGGGGATGCAGCATTCATTCCAACATTTATGTTTTGTGGGTCTCTACTAGCTCTGTCCTTTTAGTTGCTAAATACACCACTAAGTTCACCATCCATTTGTTGACTCTGTGTGTCTTCCATTTCGTGCCAGGCAGGCAGTGTACAGTTCATCAGAGCTGTTTTGCGGCCTGTGACAGGCTGGGCTCTGCATGGCAGAGTAATAACTCTCTATGTGACTCTGAGTATCTGTGCTTTTCCTATTAGCAAATGTATATATGGCCAGTTAAAGATATAGAAAAAGACAATACTGCTTCACAACAAATTGCAGATATTGTCCTTTTGATGTCTTGTGAAGTTTTCTTTAATAACAGTATGGCCAGTAAGTTCAAATTACACATATTAGTAACTACACATGCTAAAACAAATAAATAAATAAATAAATAAATAAATAAATAAATAAATAAATAAATAAATAAATAAATAGGCATGCCATTCATCTGAAAACCACAACCATTTCCCATTTTGTTCATTGGTGGCAGAATGTCTTTTTTATCACTACATGGTAGAGCACCATGAAGCATTTTCCAAAACCAGTGGTTTGGTGCAATCAGATGTGATGGTACCTTGGGGGCTGAATAGTCAGCTGTGATTTTGTGTCTGCTCACTCATGACAGTAGGGGAGGGAAAGGGAAAGCAAGGTCAGAGAGGGTCAGTGCAACACACACACACACACACACACACACTGTAAATACTGTAGAGGTTTGCCTGTCTCCTCTGCTCTCTCTCTCTCTCTCTC